TTTTAGCACCTAAACTTGTGATTGGTAGTAAAACAACATTCTCTGTTGAGACATGGTTCTACTTGGATATACACATCCACAAGAATTAGCTTATCGACTCCACAAATGGTCATATTATTTCACTCAAAATAGTCATGGGGGCTTAGAGTGAGGGCAAAATGGACACTTGCACATGGCTTAATTTTTTTGATTATATATTTTTATTTAAAAATACAAAATTATAATAAAGATAAGGACCATTTTTTTCTTGTTCGTCCTGGACCTTTAAGAATATTTCATTTTTCAGGACCGGCCCTGAAAATAGTTAATGGTTATCGAGTGGAAACTATTTTAATGATTCCACAACATTTTGCTACGTAGTTGAGCAATACACACAACTAGAGAAAAATATATCCTTTAAAACTACCTTTTAGTATAATTTTGATAGCTATGTTTTGCACATAGAATTCAATATTGACGGTCATTCTTTCACATCTGATAGAATCGTTATTATATATATATATATATATATATATATATATATATATATATATATATATATATATATATATATATGGTTAGGTTATTGTTTTAACTATCTATTGTGTGCATGTATGATTGATTATAGACCAATCATTTTAGATATTTCAAAAAAGTAATTAATACATATTACATGTTGAATATATAATGAATAATATTTAAATATTCAACATTTAACATTTATTAATTACTTTCTTAAAAATAACTAAAATGATTGGTTCATAATTAATCTTAAATGCACACATTTGAACATAACTCTCTCTCTCTCTCTCTCTCTCTCTCTCTATATATATATATATATATATATATATATATATATATATATATATACGCTTGTTGTTGAACTCGATTCAAAATATTTCTATTGTATGATTAATATTGAATTCCTTCTCCATGTAATTCTGAAAGAATAAGATACATTACTCGTTAGTATTACTAGTTAAACAAATATACTTGTTGTTAGCAAACATTTTCAAAGACATTCTAGCAGAATGTATATATAGAAATAAATTCTAATAGAATACATTATAGATTGCACTTACATCATAGTATTTTCTTCTATATGCATAAACATTCTAAAGCATGTTTAAAATGTATTATGTTAGAATTACTAGCAACACATGTTTTGTGAATTGCACAAAAACCAATAACTAAATATTGAAGAAAATGCACAAACTAATGAGTAAGTGCAGAAAAAATAACAAGTTTTAGACATGATAGCTCATACAAAATTCAATGCTCAGGTTGAATTGGAACTTAAGCATTGGAATCCAAGATTTCATTCTAATAGAATTGGAATTCGAGATTCCATTCTGGCAGAATTACCCTGATCATATTAGATACCAAGTCCTATGACAATTTTTTCGATAATCAACTTACCCAAACAACACTTACAACCATTAGGCACACGAATGTGAAGTATTTTTCCTCCCTACACAATTATTCAACCACTGCACAAGAAATAATTTAGAATTAAAATTTAATCATGTGAATTTACATATAAACAATGAAAAAAATTCTATAAGATTTTTCATATGTACGTTTCCATTCTTTCATTTTGGAATTTGGATCTTACCCTACAATGATGATCAAACCCATCAAAACATTTATCACAACTTCTGTAGTGTTTGCTATACTTTCGAACCTATAACAAATTAAAAACAAGATTTTAAATAATTTGTCCAGAAAACCAACAATCATATCATAAGAAGTTGAGTATACAAAATACGACTTCAGAAATCGAATAAAGTTTAATAAAATAGATACCTTAGCAATTGCATAGTGTACAAAATAAAACTTCTTCCTCCCCTCCTTGTTGCATATCTTCATATTTTCTACAATCCTCTATTACAATACAACCACAAAAGAATTCCCAAACTTTTGAACAACAACTTGAGCTACAGGATTCATAAGAGCTGAGTCGGCAGTGATTGGCCTCCTCAATGGCTACATGGGCATGTTCATTTCGATAATCACCACGCTTTTTTGTGGCGATGTTTCCCGAACACATATAAACTTATCAGAATCCATTGTAACATTGGTAAATGTGATGAACTGTGGATTGATCCCTATGCTTGGCAACTGCAACAACAATATACATTATTGAAAGCCAAAAAAACAACCAAACCATGCACAGTAGGCCACTATAAACTGTGATTGTGATATCACATACATCATGCCCCACAGATCTACCAAAAGCATATTAACATACATAATTGTGGACTATGACTCCACAGACAAAGTCAACATGCTACATCCTTTTTTTGGCTATTACAGAGCCATAATTCTAAAATTAAAGGGAGTGCAAAAGCTAGCAAACGGGATTTCCATCAGACTAACCCTAAATAAACCGAAAAGATCATTAAACCAGTAAAACAGACTACATTAAGTTCGGTTTCCAAAATATCATAGTACGAAATATATTATCACATAAGGTACCAAACCTTTAGATAATTATAAGCAATACTAAATTAAACTAGTTAAGAAGCTCGAGAATACTTTTACGCCATTTCAGTGTCCTCAACATCATTTCATGAATCCTATCTAGGCCATATGTATGGCAACATATAAATGTGAATCTATTGGTATAAGTGTATATGATAAACATAGGTTCTTTGTAGAGATTTACATACCGTGATTACCTCTTTTATAGTGCTTGGAGCGTTAGCGGCCGCCATTGTGGTGGCGAAATAGATCAAAACGACGACTAATCACACAGTGGTAACAATCAAGAGGGTAATCGATTAACTTGAATCATGAGAAGAGACCGTGGAGCTGACGATCCATTGTAAAAGAAGAAGAAGAAAAGAAGCGGTGAATTAGAAACGATATTGAGTACGATTTAGGGTTAATGCTCTAAATTTATCTTTGATTCTTGAGTGAAATCAGGAATATTAATTATCTTCCATAATTAATTATGCAAAGATTACTATAATACCTTAACTGATTTATTTAATTATTTAGTTTTTTCCTATATTCTTATTGATGCAATAATGCACACAATAGTTGCTAAAACATTTGAGTTTAGCTCTCTATTTCTCTCTCTCTCTCTCTCTCTCTCTCTCTCTCTATATATATATATATATATATATATATATATATATATATATATATATATATATATATATATATATATTCAAAATTTTATAGCAATGTATTTATAATTTTTTTATAAGATTATTCACTTTTAGCTAACTAATGTTACCAGATAACCACAACCAACTTAAGTAAATTAACCATCAACTGAAACTAATTATAACCACCATCTCATGGCTATAAAATGTATTAATCTATTGCTTTGGTTATTGTTCGGTTTTGGCAATTAACCGCCTGAATCCGCCCATACATATCCCTAATATATACTATTTTAACAATAACTAAAAAGGAAACAATAAAAAACTTAGAAGTGTAGGATGATTTACCTAAAAACCATTACATTCTTTTTCATTTTTAGTTTGATGTTTATTTTCCCAATATTTTAAAACATGGCAGTAGGATGATTTACACTTTAGAGCACCTTACGCTTATTTTTGTGGATTTTCATAAATATCAAAATAGCAAATATGATTCTAAAAACATGTATTATTACAACAATAATTTATTTATTTTTCAAAAAAGTAATTTACCAATTTTAGAATTTGTATATATTAAAATTAATAACTAAGCGAGTAAATTTGATTCATTCTCTCCATTATTTCTTGGTCAATACTTTCATATTACTGGAAAAAGTTATTCTCCCTTTCAAGTTTTTTTCGATTTGGAATGTATCAACCATTTGAGTATATATAGATTGTTTTTTGATATTAAGGGAGTTAGAGAGGTTAAATTGAAAGAATTACATGGTCTACAAGCTTTGCTGGTTCCACGTACTTTTGATTCCCTTTTTTGTTTTCTACTCTATGGATTTTTAGTATAATTAAATAAAAATCCTTTTTTTTTTTTTAATTTACAAAAAAAGGCAATGATATAACCAAGTTACGAAACCAAGTAGAAAATACATCTAATAGCTCATTCATCTAGGGTATTTTCGCCCCAATACATCTTGATTTGAATGATATAAAAAGTTGCCAATCGAAAGAAACATAAACTATAAAGTACATAGTTAAAATATAAATATGTAATGAAAAAAAGGGGAGCTTTGTTTTCCTTATTATTAAAATAATTTTAATCTTTGTGTAATTTTTTTTTTTTTGTATGAGGTCATCGATTGTTGATTTATTTAGTGTTGGTATGTCAATTTATTTTTCTATTTTTAAAATTGTTAGAATTGATATTATTAAAATTATATATTGGATAGTTCGCTTCGATATATAAATTTATTTTTCTATTTACAATAACATGCATATCCAATGTAGCTTACCTTTTTATATCTTTAATGTTTGTATTTTCATCAATATATACATGTAAATCCAAATAAAATATATTTTGGATGATCACTGTTGATGTTGCTCATGCTCAGGTAACATATATTTGTTATGTCGTTTTTGTCTAACGACCTTTTTAACCCACTCATTTTTCAAGACAAACTTTTTTTAGTTCAAATAATTGATATAACAAATTTCAATACCACATTGTAATTTCATTGATATAAAAATAAACGTAAACATTTTAATGATATATTTTCCAATGTATTTCAATAACAATTTCTTAATTATAACAACTAAAATTGAATGGGTTGAGTTGTATATTTAATCATTATTGTAAGTAAACACCGAAAGCATGATAATTTTAAGATGACCTTGAATTGAGTTTTTAATACAAACTGTTTATCTACTGTACACAAGAAACTAAATCTTGTTTGCAAGAGAATTTTGTGGAATCAGATATCTGGCTTCAACCATATTTCCAACACCATCACAGATCCTAACTATCATGATTATCACTCGATTGAACATATTAATTCTTCTATAAGAAATGTTGGAAATATGGTCATTTTTTATGATCAACACCCTAAAACCTTAACAGATTACTTTTTAAGCTAATTTCAGAAAATAAACAATCACGTATGACTTAATTCTCAAACAAACATCTCATAAACCATGAACTCGTTCGTATCTTTGAAGAGAATTTGTCGAAAAAACCAACAAAAAAACACAAAATATCCACCTAAAAATGGCATATTATGAAAGAAAAAGAAGAGTAGAAGCTAATTAAAGATCCGGCATCCCCTTTCCTGTTTTAGCATCAAAAGTCTTCTCCAACACCAGCTCCATAGGAGTATCCTTCGGGCCAGCTATTAAAAAAAAAAAAAAAAAACAAATATATTTTGTACTATAAAAAAAAAATATTTTGCATAAAATATATAAATATAGGATTTTACCGATTGTTGGGCGTGGGGTAGCCCTAATTTTCAAAATCTCGGGGCGGGGGATAATTGACCCTGATGCCCCTATACCTCTTGAAACTCTTACTTTACTACCATCTTCTTGATACCTTATCCCAACCTTACATGGCTGCCTACAATTTATAAATATATATATATATATATATATATATATATATATATATATATATATATATATATATATATATATATACACATTATAATTTATAACAATCATCTTATAAGGGTTAAATGCAATAAAAATTAAAATTGAACCACCCTTTTATTCTTTACTTTGTCACGGGATCGACTATTTGAACATTTGAGACATGTAGAGGGGCTTCTACAGTGAAAATTCCACCTTCATGCCCTTGCCCTTGCTTTATATGCTTCTTTACCTGTAAATATGATTTATCCAGATTCATGGTCAATTACGGAAAGAAAAAATATATATAGATAATATGAGATTACTAAATTCTAAACTAACCAAGTTTTTTCCCTCGACAATAACACGATTTTGAGAGCGAATGACCCGTTTAATAGTTCCAGTTTCCCCCCTGTCTTTTCCCCTAATAATCATTACCTGAAATAAATCATCAATTTACTCATCCATCAGCAAAAAAGTAATGTAAAGAGTGCCAAGTTTTTTTTTATTTTTTTTATTTTTTTTATTTTTTATTTTTTTATTATTATTATAAAAGCATAACATATTATGTTTTAGAATTTACATTATCGCCTCTCAGAATCTTCCAGTGATGTATGAGCTTCTGAGCTGCTTTCCATCCCATTGTGTGCCAAAATCTGTAAAATTTTAACGTTTTAGTCAACACTTTGACCAAAATAGCATGCCCAAAATTATTGTAAATTTTTAGATAAGCAGATATCAAAATAACTTGAAATCTTTAAAATTTGTACAGCAATGTAAAAATCCTATCTCACCTGTCTCTAGATCGTAGATAAAAAAATTTGTTATAAAATGATCAAAACAAATCATAATTCCTTATTACAACTACACATCTACGATTTATGCACATTTTGCAAACTATATACACATCTTGGTGTGTGTTGTGGTATATCAAAATTTGCTGATAGAAAAAAAAAAAAAGAAAAAAGAGTTGCGCATAAACTAAGCATTTACACAAAAACCCTAAAACTCACATCAAGGAACAAGCTGAAATTGCATCGATTAATACCCAATAAGCAGAATCACAGAAACGCCTCCGATCATAAAAAGGGCCCTAGACTTCACAAGATATACTGATATAAAGCAAAACCTATGTCTAAAATTGAAGAAAACTTCGATAGAAATGTCACTCTTTAAAGATATAACGAATACTTGAATGTAATACGAGTTGTAAGAAATAAACCCAAAAATCAAGAGAGATTCTAATGAAAAACAAAAATCACATCCAAATGAAGTCACGCATCAAGAAAATCCGACTAAAAACTAAAAATAAAGATAAGAACGAACCTTTTAGGATGCAGCCGAAGAGAGAGAGCCGATAGGAAGCTCTCGATGGAGGGGAAGCGCCAATGAAGGACTACTGTCGCCGGAGAGGAGGGCCGATTGAGGCTTGGCTGCGTCCGGGTGGCTCGGTGACGTAGAAACTCGAATGTTAGGCCGTATACAATTATAAAAAAAAGTTTTATGATTTTGTTTTTCTTGTTGTTGGGCCAAATGTTAGTACCTGGGTTAGGCTTTCAATTAATTTGATATGAAAGCCTTTGTACTTGAAATCCAGAATCATAAAAATTAAAAAGTCTCCCTTTGGTTTGTATGATGTTTAAAGAACATTAAGATGTTCAATAGAAGGTATTTGACTACAAAATTGAGTACAAAAGGGCATTTAATCTAGGAGTGACTTTTTTAAATAAAAAAAATTATGGTTTCAATTTTTATTTTTAGAAATTAAATTGTGTCCTATTTTTATACCTATAAATATTTCTATTCACTAATATTATGACACGCAACATCATTCCACTATTCAATTTAGTTTTATTTGACGTATTCCTAATATACTCTTAATGAGAAAGTTAAACAAATATGGAATGATAACATGTGTTATAAACTTATAATGTTAGTGGGTAGGAATATTTGTAGGCATAAAAAATATAAGACAATTTAATTTATCCTTTTTTTAGGTGGAGAAATTAAATATCCTTTTATTTTTATTCCTACTTATCCTTCTACCTATATGAAATAATGACAACCGTCTTAAATATCTATTTTTATTTATTCTCATACCAATATGAAATAATGACAAGTGTCTTAAAACACTATTAATTTTATCAAAATGTGACACTTATAATGACATATAACCGGGGATCATCATTTGGACCTATGGAATGGAAACCGAACTTGGACCGATTTATAGATTAAGACAGGTTTCGGTTCTTTGTCTCATGCTAAAAAGTTCAGATGCAAAACTGGGTCGGTCCATCCGTGTCCAGGTACAAAAACGGTTTGGATTGGAATTTTAAAAAATATATCATTTCGATTAAAGATATATTAAATTTTTAGTTTTTTCTTTTTGGTATTTCATGTGAAAATTTTATAACATACATTTATCTTTCTTTTTAAGGTGGATTGACATGTGTTTTTTTTCCAGCGACTAGTTTAGAGTTTATACATAATTTTAAACTATATTTTCATTTTTTTATTTTATATACAATAACCTACAATCTCCCGAAGTCGAGATAATTAAGCTGGATTTTTTAGCTTTTTACTTATTTTTTGTATTTTGCATTTTGTGAAAAATTTAAAACATATGTATCTCGTTTGTTTGGAATCGTTTTGACATGCGGTTTTTTTCCAACATATGTTTATAGATATTATATAATTTTAGATTATAACTTTGTCGATTTTTGTTTATATTCAGTGACTTACAACCACCCAAAGTCGATATGTCAATGCTAAAAATTTTCAGTTTTTTTATCTTTATTTTTTTGTTTTTTTATTTTTTATTTTGTATTCTTTAAATTTTTTTAAAACATGTATATATCATTTGTTTGAAGTCTTATCTTATTTAGGGTTTGAATTTACGAAATAATCGACCAAACATGCATGCAAGTGATGTAAATGTATAAGAAATAAACACAAAAAAATTAGATGAAAATATTTTAGAAAAAAAAACACATGGCACACTATTGTATATACTTATAATGGATGATGACGAGTAGATCTACAAAATTAATGAAGGGTGGGGATAAGTGTAGGTTACATAAAATGGACAAACTATTTGTCTATTTATAAGATAACAACTAGAATACTAAACAAGCTGTAGCCATAAATACTGAATAATAAGGTAAGATGCTAAATCCTAATAATTAGGAAAAAGGAAACGATCCCATAGCTCTCACTTATATCACCCATAAACAAACTGTACTTTGAGACGAACTATATCATCAAAGAAAACTACTTCAACTCCTTTTATAATCGAAATATTTGTCACGTGCCATAGCTCATGAGGGCTAATCTTTAATACCATCCAAGCTTGAGAAAAATTCAAACTTGGCAACCGGAGTTGACTTAATCATCATGTTATCATGATTATCATGAGTATTAATATATTTTTTTTTTACATTGATAGCCTCTTTAGAAATAACATCTCTGAAGTAGTCATGACTCATGTAGGGATGAGCGTTGGAACCGGAACCGGTATTACGATACTATTAGAACCGGTAACCGGACTGCCGGTTTCAATACTGGTTCCGGTTCCGGTCCCGGTTTTCCGGTTATTTTTCCAAACAAGAACCGGTTAAAATTTAGGTGAAATTAATGACTTTTTCGGTTAAAAAATAGGTACAAGTAGTTTAGATGCAATTCATAATACTTACATGTTGTTAAGTTGGCTTCTAAAAGAACATAATATTCAATAATCAAGTTTCAAAAAAACATAACATTCAAAAATCAAGTTTCAAAAAAACATAGTGGTGTTCGAAAAACAAACTCGTCCCCACATATCAATTTTAATACAATTCAACTAATCAAGTTTCAACCAAAATAATTCTCTCTAACTATCATCTACGTCTCCATTGGTCTTTTTCCCATTGCTTTGTCATTGTGTAAAACTTCCTCAATCTCTATATAAAACACAAAACAAAAATGTTGTTAGCATTTACTAAAATGTAAAGGTCGTATAAAAATATAACAAGGATTGAAAGTACAAAATACCCATAGCTACTTCATCATCATTTAAAATGTCGTCCACATTGTCTATTATAGGTTTTCTACTCTTTCTAACCCAATCTTGGGTACACAACAAAGCTTCAACTATCACGTTAGACAAGTTAGCACGATAGTCGGTTAAAACTCTACGACTTGTGCTAAAGGTAGACTCCGATGCTACAGTTGAGATTTGTATCCCCAAAATATCTATTAAGAAATAAATTATTGTTAAATGTAACATCATTAATTATTAAAAGAAATGTGACATATTAAAAAAAAAGTCAATACCTTTTGCCATTCGAGCAACTATCGGGAATCTTAACCCGTTAAGTTTCCACCAACTTAGGATATCAAAACTTTTGTTGTACGTAACCAGGGGCTCTTTCAAATATATAATTAATTCATTTTCCAACGCATCCGAGTTGTCACCTCCACTATTAAGGAAGTTGCCAAAAAAGTCGTTATCATCATCACAATCAACGACTTGTTGAGAACTTTGTTGTTGAGAAGACCCGCCCATGTCGTATTTTTCCACGTAGGTTTTAAAAAAATTCTCAATCTTCCTCTCGACCTCATAAAGCATTTCATATGCTTTCAATTCTATCTCCGATTTTGATAACTTTTCATTCTTGGAACCAATCATTTCTTTAAAAGTATACAACAATAATTGAGACTTCATTGTAGGATCTAGCAAAATCGCAAAGTAAACATAATCACTCATCTTTGCATAGTCGCCCCAATATTTGTCATATTTGTCCTTCATGTCGGGTATCAAATGAACAAAGTTGACTTTGGTTGACCATTTTTTAAGATGTGGATTCACATCTAAGATTTCCCGGATTAATCGATGGACTAAAGGTTTTGTTGAAGCCGAAACGTTCTCCGTTTTCGTCTTAAACTTTTCAAGGAAATCCACCATCTCTTTTATCGCCTCGAAATCCAAACGATCTGGTACTCTTTGTAGATCCTTCTCATACGATTTTTCTATCAAAATCCAAAAATAAAAACCAATTAAATTATCATATATAAATAAATGAAAAAAAATGCTGCATTGATATGTTGTCTTTCCAGGCTTGTATCTAATTCAATATTTAACCAAAATATGATTTGTAAAAGTCTAAACTGAAGTATAAAGACTAAGCTACATGTTGAAAAAAAAAATCAAGTGATTCCGACTTCATATGAGTGAGTTATGAAATTTTAAAAACCGGGACACAATAATAAAATGTGCTGAAACAGAAAAAATGCTGCATTGATATGTTGTCTTTCCAGGCTTGTATCTAATTCAATATTTAACCAAAATATGATTTGTAAAAGTCTAAACTGAAGTACAAAGACTAAGCTACATGTTGAAAAAAAAATCAAGTGATTCCAACTTCATATGAGTGAGTTATGCAATTTTAAAAACCAGGACACAATAATAAAATGTGCTGAAACAGAAAAAATGTTGCATTGATATGTTGTCTTTCCAGGCTTGTATCTAATTCAATATTTAACCAAAATATTATTTGTAAAAGTCTAAACTGAAGTATAAAGACTAAGCTACATGTTGAAAAAAAATCAAGTGATTCCAACTTCATATGAGTGAGTTATGCAATTTTAAAAACCGGGACACAATAATAAAATATGCTGAAACAAAATAAGAAAAGTAATACCTTTGATGCCAAATTCCACAAAAGCTTCCCATAACTCGTAGGCGGTTTTCAACAACTCGAATGTCGAGTTCCATCGGGTTGGAGAGTCGCTACACAAAAATTTCTTTGTTTCCAACCCCACGTCTTTGATGGCTTTTTTAAACTTCTTAATCCTTTATGTTGAACCTCTAATATACTTCACCGCCTTTTGTACACATTCCACATGATAGTTATGGTATTTTAACCCAACCTTCACAATAAGGTTTAGGATGTGATCCATACACCATATGTGGAAATGTTTTCCACCGTCGTAAATCGTGGGAAACATTTTAACCAAAAATTCGATTGCTGTGTCGTTACTCGTGGCATTATCGACGGTCATTGACATAACATTTTTCATACCCCACCCATGTATGCATGCTAGTAACTCTCGCTCAATTTATTCACCTTTATGTGTATCTATCTCCCTAAAATTGATGACTCTCTTATGCATGACCCACTCGTCATCAATAAAATGGGCCGTGACAACCATGTAATTGACCTTTTTACAAGAGGATGTCCAAGTGTCGGTTGTCAAGTGTACAGCGGTGTTTGCATTACTGAAATACTTGAGCAATTTATTCCTCTCATCTAAGTAAAACTTGCCTACGTCTCGGGAAATTTTATGTCTAGAAGGCAAGATCACCCTACCATTAAGCGCGTTAGTATATTCAATAAATGCTTCATTTTCATCATACTTGAATGGTAGTTCACCAACGGTAAAAAGGCCTAGTAATGCTCGTTTGATCCTAGTGTCATCATGTTTCCATGTTTGTACACTAGTCTCACCATTTGGTTCCTTCTTAAAATTCAATTTGGCTTGCTTTTTATCATTTTTTTCTTTGTTTTCCGGGTTTAACTTGCAATTCCTCCAATGTTTGTTCATATTAGAAGTCCCATTTCGGTCCGTATCGGCTTTAAGTATTGTATGACAATGAATACATTCCACACTTTTCCTTTCAACACCATCATCCTCTACAATCAACACCAGCTCGAACGCTACCCAACAAGGAGCCGTTCCTTTACCATTATTCCTTGCTCTATCTCGTTTGCTAGTAATTGGTTTTGGCACGCCTCCATTCCTTTTTCGTTTCTTAGGACTTGGCTTTGGCATGTCTTCTTTTCCGGATTCGTCACTAATATTATTAATTACCGGTGGTGTCTCACCAATAAAATCATCTTCATAATCCTACATTTGGAAAATGAGTTCAAAAAATATTATATATCATCAAGCAAAATGAGTTCAAAAGATGTTTAATTCAATTTGGATAAGTGACATTATTTTACACCATACTAAGTTCTAAGATTTTATTTGTATATTATTAGAGTTTTCTCAAACATGAATTGAATATTAAGATTGAGCCTTTAGGAGGAAAACAATTAACAAAATCTATTATATCTTTTTATGTTATATCATAAAAAATATTTTAAATATGAAATCAATTAATAAACAATGTAAATTATATATCACACAACATTACTACAAGATAAGGCAATAACGGTCTAGGTAGCTTGAAAATTGAAATACATCATTCCCCTAAACTGGAATGGAACCAAAGGAAACCTCGCTACCTAACATCCTAACTCCTAACCTATATGTGCCATGTTGGTATACTAACATAAATGTAGACTAACATAATCAGGAAAGAAACTGGAAAGAAACCTACAGAATAAGTCTCAACTCTCAAATGGGTTGAAGGGTAATTAAGTAATTTAATAATGGAGTTGTTTTTAGTAATTTATTAATGCAGCAAGCCAGCAACAATCGACAACTGCAATCAGCAAAAACAGCAACAATGACTTGTTGATTAGTAATTTAGTAATGCAGCAACAATCAATTGGAGATTGCACTTGTTGATTAAAAGATCTTAGCAAAAAACAGTTGGTAGTTCTGTACTTCTGTTGCATCAAAAAAGCAAGAACGAACCAGTATACAATAAGAAACAATAGCAACAATGACTTACTTGAGTTTCATCTTCTGTATTAATCCAATTACTTGAGTTTGGCTTCTCCATTGTTACACACACTACTAGAAATATAGCCTTTTACGACGCGCGAACAACGACACACGCTGTTTTATGATACGCAATAGTGTCTGCCCTAAAAATAATGTCGGATCTCCAAAAATTAGAAGGATTTAGGGTACGCATTTTTGCGCGCCCTAAAATAAGTGTTACATTAAAAAAAAAAAACACGGAGGGCACATAACATAAAATGCGCGTCCACTAAGTATGTCGCTTTATATTTTTTAAATGAAACGCGGGTCACTTTTTTTTTGGGGAAAACGAAATTCCAAAAAGTTTTGAAAGGCCCGCCATGTTCCTACCTTGAAACACGGGTCTCTCTCTCTCTCTCTCTCTCTCTCTCTCTCTCTCTCTCTCTCTCTCTCCTGCTATACCTTGATGAATTATCGCATACAGATGGAGGAACTCCTCCAAAATTCATTCCTTCCTTCTCCCTTCAATCAATCAGATGTCTTCTTCCCTCTTCACACTTCGATCGACAAATCAGGCCACCAAAAATCACCGATTATCTTTTTCTTTCTCAAAATCAATCGCACCTCCAAGAACCACAAGTATTATTTTTTTCCCTTTCTGGTTCGATTAATCCTAGTAAGACATCGACCTCTGTTTCTACACCATTATCGTTGTCTAACAAGGATGCCTGACATACCTTTAGTTTCTCGTGAAGTCAAGTATGTAATCTTTTTTCATAAAACCCATACAGACTAGGGCTTTTTAAAGAGGAAGCCAGAGGACGAATTCATCATGGATCGGAGGATCACCTCATCTGATGACGCAGCTCAACAAGATCTAGTATTTGAAATTCACGGTGAGATCAAAATCCTTAACTCTGCTTTTTCATTGAACGAAGCATATCAAAATTTTAGCTGGTTCAATTGCGGGTCTATCTTTCTCTTTTAGCATTAGATGATTCCAATCGAAGGCGTAAACTTGCTTTATATATTCTTGCAAGGCTTGCTCATGTAGATAATTAAATTGTCATGTAATCTATGTTTTGTATCGTGTAAGACGTAAGTTTTCAAATTTTAGTTATTTTTCCTGCTCAACAGTGTGCTTATAATTCTGCAAAATCAATGAAAAAGTTCACCCTTTGGGGAAGCTCATGGAGACACAGGGATTCATTACTCTTGCTTTATGATGTGCTCAGGTACATATTGATTCTTAAATTTTACATCTTTTCCTTTTAATAATCTTACATTTTGTTCAACAATTTTAAGTCATGTATGCTTTTGTAATGCAACCCAAAATCTTAACAAAATCATACTAAGATTTTTATCAAAAAATTGGCCCTGTTACTAAACCCGTATACAAAGCTATAAAGAAATGTTGTAGAGGTTCCCTAGTAGATATTGCATCACTCTCTTCTTACCCATCAACTATAAACGACTCTGAATTTAATGATTTATAAGAATACCCTTCTACCAATACCTTGTTTAAAAATCCAACCATCCACAAAATCATGTTTGGCTCATAACGCATACTCCACATCAGCAACATTCAGGAAAACATTCCCACTTTATTTCTCTTTGACTTTTGTAGCCTTTGTTGTCCTTTTTCTTCAAAAGTTTATGGATGCGCCATTTAAGACTAGTTGGCATGCAGTGATTGGAGTTGTTGTACTGATTTGCAGGTGGATTAGCTACATTATCAGTGCTTTGGGAGAAGAAAGGAAGAAGATGAGAACTTGGATTGTTTGTTCTTCCATGTGCTGGGGAATCTTTTTTGTATATATTAGTCAACCGCCTTGTTCTTCCAGATGTCAAAAATGTTGAGGTACTATACTAAATTATGCGTTCTACCCAAAAAACTTGAGAAATTACATATGGATCAATAAAATGTGTTGTTTTGGGGATTGTATGGACAATGTTTTCTAACATTGGAAGCTTAACTGATATGTTATTTCTAACTTTTTTTATTTATTAATTTACAATAAAAAAAACTTGGATTTGAAAATAATTTATAGGTTAAATATGTGTATGAATATAAGAAAGAGTTGTTTTATTCAAGTGTTTTAGCTAACACCATGAAATGGTAAAACGTAAGTCATTATAGTGATTCTAGCTTTTAGCATTTGCATATACCAGATGTTGCTATTCAACTTCTTATACCTAATTAACCGTCTCTCCCATTCCATTCACAGTCTATAAAACAATGGATGTCGGTTCATAAATGTAAAAGTTGAATTTTATTTTTGTTTATATAGAAACTCTGTAAATTGTTGATTTATATGCTTTGTAGAGAATGGACACTTCTCTCCTGATAAATAAAGATTTTCACTATCATTTTTGTGTTTTGTTTACAGTCATGTTTCTCATACTCCACCTGTAAGAGTAAGAACTGGTGGTTTTCAAGATCTAGGTCCTAGTAATCAAGGAGAAAGTAGTGAGAACAATACAGTAACAGAAATTTATGATAATCTTTGTAAAGTTTTTGATGGTTAGTGATAATTTTTGCCTTTTTTTTATTACAGTCATGTTCCTCATACTCCACCTGTAAGAGTAAGAATTAATGGTTAGTGATAATTTTTAGCTTTTTTATTTTTATTTTACAGTAGCAGAAATTTAACCACATTAAAATTAAACTATGCATGGTGCAGGGATGTCTGATATCTTTGTAAAGTTTTCGATGATGCTCACATGTCATCAAGAGCTCATTAGATTCAGATTCATCGTCATAATAATTTATCATTCTCTTCTCCACCTCCACCTCAAATGGAAGAATTACCCCTGTCATGACCATTGATGTAGTAGGGTCCAGATCATATACTGTTCAGACAACAATAGGGTCCTCACCGGACCCCACATCATCTACTGGATCTTTTGTATATGATGTGGAAACGGAAACACCTGCCACATTCTTTCAAGATCGTCATGGCTTTGGCTTTGACAACAGTGGAGATTTATCTGATATTCTAGAAGTTGATGATGCTGATGTTGATGATAGAGTAAGTTTCTATTTCTTTGCTTAAATTTACCATCAACTTGTTTTTTTCTTTTTCTTTTAAAAAGGATTAAATGTACATTCTTTGATTCATCATTTTATATACTACAGTACCATGCTATTTTTCATGTAGCAATTTCCAGTGATTCATCATTTTATATACTACAGTACCATGCTATTTTTCATGTAGCACATTTATTTTATTGTAAAGATTTTATGGATATAGTCAAAGAGCTTAGTACTAAGGAGCCAAAACGAAAGATATTGTCCTGCTCTTTTTAGAAAGGTTAGCAAAATTGTCTATATATTTATCATACTTATAATAGTTTATTAATTAATCCAAATTCCAAGACCATCTATGGGTATAGTCAAAGAGCAGGTATGCTATATGTGGGGATTTAACGCTGAAAAAGATAGTAGCTACAAGACCATCTACTAAAGCAAGGTTGGTGTAAGAGTTGATGACGAGAACATTGTTCCAAGACCTTCAGTGAGTTATGATGATGTCTCTTAATAGCAATGTAGTATTAGGTTATATAGTTAGGGATGATTATTTGTATTTGACATGTTAATGCAATGAATTATCTTTCTTATTTGTTGTATTTTATTTTGTATTTTGTATGACATTAACTTTTGTGCAATGGATTGTATTTTTTGTATATGGTATTTTATTTTCTATTATGAGAAATTAAATGCAAATTTAATTTAAAAATTAATAAATATATAAATTTATTTTTTTTAAACATTTAAATTTACGATGCGCAAAAATATCTGTCATCTTTATTTATGACATGACGTTTCTTGACAGGGGCTTTTTTGATACGCATTGCGTGTTATTAACACGCGCGTCGTAAGGTTACGACACGCGAATGCGTGTCGTCTTCCGTTATGACTGGGACTTCCTTGATACGCATTGCGTGTCGTAAATGCGCATCGTAAATGAGCGTCGTAAATGCGCGTCGTCTATAGACGACGCGCAAAAGCGCGCCATCTCTCTTTATGACAGGGCCTTCCTTGACGTGCATTTGCGCGTCGTCTGAGCCTTTTACGACGCGCAATGAGCGTCGTAAAAGGCTATTTTTCTAGTAGTGACAAAATCGATTTTTGTTTGTCAGGATCGGTTTTTTTTCACAATGTAGGCTATTTTCCTAAGCCCCAAGCAAAACCGATCGTCCCTATTTTCCTCTGTGTGGTGATCGACTTTTTTTTTTTTTTTTTTTTTTTTTTTTTTTTTTTTTTTTTAACTCTTGACTTGCCGTTTTGTGTTTAGGTTAATTAAGGAATAGATTAGGAATTTAGGATATATGATATATCGATATTGCATCAATTAGATAACATTTTGAAAATAGATTTGCATGGATTCCGACTCTTACACTTCCAAGCCGGTTCTGGTTTTTTAACCGGTTTTTGTTAGAACCGAACCGATGGTAGAACCGGAACCGGTTTTGCCATAAGTCAAGAACCGATAACCGAACCGCTCTACTAATTTGTGTCCGGTTCCGGTTCCGGCGGTTCAAAAGCTCATCCCTAGACTCATGTCATTGTGCATTGTTGTCTCCCTAAACATGGAGTCCTTAGTAAGGCATATAACACTTTGAGTGTTGCATAATATGGTAGTACTACTATATGTATCTCTACAAAATATCTCTATACAAACATATTACTCAAATAGCTTATTCACAAGCTTCAAACAGTCGCCATGAACGTCATTTACTCTACTAAATACTTTAGTAGTGGACAAGGCTAAAATGCACTACATGGTTGCTTTCCAACTCACAACAGAACCACTAATGGTGAAAATATTACCTCTGAGTGTCTATCTCTTATCTAAATTCCTTTTATAGTATGAATCGAAAAAACTAGTTAGTCTATCTATCCAAACAAGCACTAAATATACTATGAAGTATATGAAAATCCATTTAATTGTTTTCCCGTGCTCTTTTCCTAAGTTTTCCATAAATCGACTAGCAACACTAAGTGTTAAATAATGATGGATTTTAAAACAAATAATCAAAGAACCATCATGCTCTAGCATTGGATTTATGTTCATCCAAATTATTGTAACAAATTTGTCTACAATAAAGTATTTATGCACTTACCTTAAATCTATTTCTATGAGGATGGTGATGATTCAAAGGAAAAACCCCTATATTATTTCATACCCAAAGTAGATAATCTTCAAGATTTTTTTTTCGAAAGCTAGAACACCTTCTTCTTTATTTGGCTTCTTCGAATTCTTGAGGAACAAGAAGACCACAACTATTGCTCAGTGATTAGGGGTTCATGAGATCGAGAAGGGAGGAACGATGGGGAGTAATTTCAAGACCCATTATATGAAGAGAGAAAGGGATGATTGTTATCTTTGTAATTAACCTATCAACCAAACTTATTGATTATAAGATAATTACCATAAATAATTATCTTCCATAATCAATTTATGTCTTGATGCAAATCAAATCCTTCATTTTAATTAGTTTTAAATGAATTATCATATTAATTAATCTACTCTAATAAATGAAGGTTTTTTGCCACATGTCATCTTTTTATTCATTTGGATACATGGTATTTTATAGAATTTTTAAAATTTCTATTTTCCACTTGTAATTTTATTATATTTTTCATTTTATTAAATTAAAATTTCACATTTAATATGTAAAGTAATATATATGTAATGTATTCAATACATTAAAGTGTCATTAATTTTAATAATTCATTTTTTTTTTCATTTTTCTTAAAAATTCAAACTTTTAAAATTGTTAAAATTTCATATTTTTTTTTTTAAATAACCCATGTAATACATGGGTCTCACAACTAGTATCTCTAATAAATGAATATATTTTTTTGCCACATGTCAATCTCTAATGAGTTTTGACACTTGTAATTCTTTGATATTTTTTAAATAAATAACATTTATATGTCAATTTATGGTATTTTTCAATTCTTAAAATTAAAAAGTCACATAATCTTATATTTATATATATAAAGTATCAAATGATAAATATTATAATAAGTTTAAGTTAATATGTTTCTTCATTTCTTATTTCAAAATTTTATTTTAAAAAATACTTATCATTTAAATTTTAATATTTTATTTTCTTTAATCAACCTGTATAATACATAGGTTTTACACCTAGTGTTAATGGTAAATAATAAACTAGTCATTCTATTCAGTTAGTTTCTAATCAAAACATAATATTTATGATGAATAATAAGGTATTCTATTTATTTATTTTTCTTTTGCCAAATTGAACTTAAATTGTAGTGTGTATGCAACCCAATAGACCCATGCAATATTTAGAATGTTAATAACTTGTTGTATCATTCAATTGACTTATCTCCAACATAATCCTACTTACACATGATACATCAGTTGTATAGCACCGACAAGGGTTTGTATCTAGCAATACACTAGTGCCCCAAAGTCACCATAGGGCATGTCATTCATGAGAAGTTTTAATTTCAAAACCAAAAGGCATGAAATAGTCATATAAGTAAGTGGTCAAGTGTCTCTTGGTTTGTGATATCTACATGAACACGATTACGCGAGACATGAAATGATGTAAAATTCAAAATGTCCAATATTTTGTTTCTCAAAATGATTTATGGTGACCACAAAAGCAGAGTGCAAAATTGATCCATTATTAATTTAGTCTAAGTACAACCATGAACTTAGTGCAACACTGAATCATTGAAGGGTCAACAACATCACTTCTATCATAATTTAAAAGGAACAAATAAACATTGACCACACATATGCCTCATTGATCATCTCGTTAAGTTTGGCTTGTGGTTTTTCATCTAGAAGACTTCTATAAGTGTAATAAATATATATACAAATATTATTCTACACCAATAATAAAAATACGGGTGTAAAACTCAAACCCAAGATGAAAAAAGATTCCAGACATGGAATAACAGAAAATCGAATATGTATATGCGACAAAATGTAAAGATTTGAGAAATTAACGTGAAGTGTAAAATTCAAGAAAGTTTATTCATTGTTTCCTATATGATATTTTTTATATTTTTATTTTTCATAATAATAGGTTGATATTTCATATTTGTCTGAAAAATATTCCATATGTGATTATGATTTTTGAAAGAAGTAAAGTGGTTTTATGTAAATAAAATAAAAATGATAGTACTCCACTTCTTGTAATTCTTTGATATTTTTTAAATAAATAACATTTATATATCAATTTATGGTATTTTTCAATTCTTAAAATTAAAAAGTCACATAATCTTATATTTATATATATAGAGTATCAAATGATAAATATTATAATAAGTTTAAATTAATATGTTTCTTCATTCCTTATTTCAAAATTTTATAAAAATACTTATCATTTAAATTTTAATATTTTATTTTCTTTAATCAACATGTGTAATACATAGGTTTTACACCTAGTGTTAATGGTAAATAATAAACTAGTCATTCTGTTCAGTTAGTTTCTAATCAAAACATAATATTTATGATGAATAATAAGGTATTCTATTTATTTATTTTTCTTTTGCCAAATTGAACTTAAATTGTAGTGTGTATGCAACCCAATAGACCCATGCAATATTTAGAATGTTAATAACTTGTTGTATCATTCAATTGACTTATCTCCAACATAATCCTACTTACACATGATACATCAGTTGTATAACATCGATAATGGTTTGTATCTAGCAATACACTAGTGCCCCAAAGTCACCATAGGGCATGTCATTCATGAGAAGTTTTAATTTCAAAACCAAAAGGCATGAAATAGTCATATAAGTAAGTGATCTAGTGTCTCTTGGTTTGTGATATCTACATGAACACGATTACACGAGACATGAAATGATGTAAAATTCAAAATGTCCAATATTTTGTTTCTCAAAATGATTTATGGTGACCACAAAAGCAGAGTGCAAAATTGATCCATTATTAATTTAGTCTAAGTACAAACATGAACTTAGTGCAACACCGAATCATTGAAGGGTCAACAACATCACTTCTATCATAATTTAAAAGGAACAAATAAACATTGACCACACATA